TCAGAGAAAAGGTATTTTATAAGTGTTTAGGGAAGGAGAGAAAAGGATCCACAAGGTCCCCTGCAGCGATTCTGATCCAACCTGGGGTCTGAAGTGTGGTCCTCATGTAAGCAAGCATTGAATGGTGAGGGCATGCCAGGCACAGGGAGTGGCAGAGGGTGGAGGTGGGGGCCTCAGCTCCCTGCGGGACAGGGAGGAGGGATGGAACACACCTGCGAGGCAGGGCTAGGAGGTTTGCTCAGCTGAGATTTGCTCAGCTCTCAGACCCTCAATTTCCTTAGTGGAAAAACAGGCATGCTAGCTACAGTGCTATGGGAATGGATTATGGTCACAACTTCTGAGACTACACACTGTGAACTCTAAATTGCTAGGCAGATGTTGGGTAATTGTGTATCATTGTTATTCATTATTTTAAGAAGCCCAAGACCTGATTGGGGGTGTTGAAAGGGGAGCTGAAAGCTCAGCTGTCCCCTCAGTTGCTGATGGAAGTCCCGAGAAGCTGGCAGCAGGAGAGGAGTGAAGCCCTTTTGGGGAGCCACACGTGGGCTGGCCTTTATCGTGTCTACATCATCTCCTACCCAGCTGTAGAGTTTGTGCTTTTCTGCTGATTGCTGTTCCCCAACCTCTAGCCCAAACGTGATGGTCCAAAGAGACACCCACTTGTAACCGTGTAACCATGGTCATGGATAGATTGGCAACACATGGCTTCATCTCTGGGGAACTGACAGAACTGACAGCTGCCTCTTCTGAGTCATTCATGTTTCTGTTTGGACCACAGCCTGAAACGGGCCTCGCCATTCTAGGGGCTGGCTCGGGGCAGAACTGGGGCTGCCTGTAATGGGAGTGGGCTGAGGACCCCTGGCAGGCACCATCCAGAAAGCTGAATCTTTATTTTCTCTTTATGCAGGAATTCTACGTCCAGCCTTATCTTGATCTTTATTTGAAACTAAGTTCCAGTCAGATGTGGCAACTGCTGCAGGGACTAGCACTTTCCTGAAATCTATTATCTCTCTCTGGTCCTGGCTCATCTTTCCAAGACCCACTTCTGCACTGGAAGGAGATTGGCCCTCTAGGGCCCACCTGCTCAGGCCTGGCTCTCCTGCTCAGGTGCAGAGGCCTGGTCCAGACATAGCCTTGGTGAGGGTCAAGGGAGAGCAGGGAAGCCCAATGCATCTGAGGGTAGGAGAGTGGCGGACACTTAGAACAAGGGCTGCTGCACCTTGGGGCCAGGGTGAGGGTCCTAGAATGAGGCAGCCACGTTAGGGTGACCACCAAGGCAGGTGAGGATCCTGCAACCTGTTTCCCGCTCCAGATCACCACCCTCACCCTGTACCCAGCTCACACCTGACCAGTCCATAGCACCTAGATGCTACAGACTACAGGACAGCAGGTCTCTTGAACTCCGAAAGAGCACTAGGTGGGATCTGGTGGGGTACTTTGGCTGAGGGATGACGCCAACTGGGGAAGGACTTCTGTGCCTATGTGACGCCCTTACCTCTCCTTGCTTCACAGAATGCACTCCAGCTAGGCTGTTTATCCTGTGCCTCATGGTCTTTGCATAGGGTGATTTCTCTGCCAGAAACATCTGCTCATCCCTGTGCCTTTGTCTGGCTACCCCATGTACTTGCTTCAAATGTGGCTTGTATAGGAAGCCTCAGTTGCCCAGGTCAGAAGAAGGTGCTTTTGCTTGATTCTTCTAACATCTCCCCTGACTCTCCCTCATCAGTCAGCTTATCACCCAGTACTTTCTCACTGACCTTTTGGTCACCTTGAGAGTTCATCGGTGTATTCTGGGGCCTAGTGTGATGCATGATGTGCAGTGTTCCACAAGTAATTGTCACATGGATGGCTGGATAAGTGTAAGAATGGATGGATAGGTGGATAGGTAGACATGTGATAGGTGAAGGAGTAATGGATAAAAACATGTATATATGAGTAGCTAGGTGGGTAGATGGATGGACGGTTGTGTGGGTGAGTCAATGGATGAATGTGCTGGGGGTCGTTAGATGGAGGATATTACACATGTGTGGACATATGGACAGATATACGGAAAGTAGATAGATAAAATAATACAGCAAATGAATGGTATATACACACGGATACCCATGGATAATGAAAGCATGAGTGATTGAGTGGGTTAACAGTCACCCAACAGAAAAGCTGGGGAGACACATAGCTGGACTTACTGGGAAAAGAACCTGGGCCCTGAGAACTGCACCAGGCCCATTGAAGGCCCAGAGGGAAGGGGTTGGTGGCTTGCAGCCCACACCTCGTTGGCAGAGCTAGGGAGCATCAGGTAGCAGCACTAGGAAGTGGAGGGTCCTGTGCTCACCAGGGCAGCTCACATGGGGCCAGCCCTTCTGCTGTGTGCCAGTCCTCTGGTGGGTGCACCATGATCTGCCCTCAGGAGGCTCTGGGCCTGGAGGTGGGAGATGAGGGGAGATAGTCCAGTCAAGGAACGTCTGGTCTTGTCAGGCCCATCCTCTATTTATGCATCATAAAACTGAGGCCCGGAGAAGTTCAGAGACTTGGCCAGTGTTACACAGCGAGTTGGCATCTGAATCCTCCAAAAGCCAGTTGTCTGCTTCTAATACTCTATATAGACAGGGTGGGGCTGATCCTTCCCCAGGCGTCTGCCAACTGGAACACAGAGAGATCACACCTTCTTCCCCAAGCTTATCACGATAACTTACACTATTGTTGCCATCAAAGAGACTATAGAATGTCATGGCTAAGTGCTTGGGTTGGGAAGACTGATGGTTTGGATTCTAGTTCTGCCCAGTTCTTAGCTGTGTGACTTTAAATTTAACCTCTTGGTGCCTCAGTTCCCTCATCTGTAAAATGGGAGTGACGTAAACCTCCTCCACAGGCAGCATTATTGAGGTTGAGTTCACCACAAAAAGTGCTCGGGACAGACCTATTGGGTAAGGATATGTCTGTGTGTGTACTGCAATAAGAGTGATCTCAGTGTATAGATGTGCATGAGTGTGAGGCCTAGAGATATCCATGTGTTTGTGTGTACAATGTGAGCATGTGTGTGTGTGTGAGCACAATTATGAGTCGCATATGTGAGTGCTGTGAGTCCAGCAGACAAGGTGCAGAGAATGTTTGTATTCACAGCGTGTGTGCACACAGTGTAGGGTAGGTGGAGTGGTGTGTGTGTGCGCATGCGCGTAGCTGTCTCTTGCCCACATTCGGGTCCCAGAAGCCTACCCAAACAGAGTCCCAGCCGGGGAGACTATATTTTTGGTTCTTGAGACTCATTATTCCAAGTCACCGCACTCCCTCTGCCCCTAGTGGAGAAGCTGGAACCAAGCAGAGGTCAGGAGGTAAGCTATCTGGGCTACCGAAGCAATCAGGAACCTATCCCAGGGGAAGGAGGCAGAGGAAGGGCAGGTATGGGGAGCTGTTGGCTTCAGATCTGACGACTGAGGACTGGATATGAGCACCAGGGTGGGCTGTGTGGATCTGAGCCCACATGTGTGGGCTATGGATGGAGGGACAGCAGGGGAAGTGCTGCCTGAGGCTACAGGATCAGGCCACCTTAGCTAGGAGGAGCCCACTCCTGCCAGCTACTGAGTTGTGGACCCATAGAGACACACAGAGGCTTCCCTTTGGCCCCCTTGGATCCACCCAAATCCAAACACTATGCATAGCCATCACTGTCCTGGACAGGAACAATGGCCACCAAGTGGCTGGCCAATGGGCTGGTGGCAGAGGCCCTACCTGAGGCAAGTTAGTGATATACTTGGCCTAATGGGTCCATAGTTCTCTGATCCAATTCAGGTTCTTGAGGACAACTGAGGTGCTCAAGGCTGTGTTCTGGCACTGCATATGAGGTGGATGGATGGGTGGAAGGGTGCAGTGATCATAGAGCCTGGCTTTAGGGTCCCAAAGTTACTCTGCTGTCACAGCTCAAGCTCCTCACTTAAGACTTAGGACCTACCACCTCCCACAACCCACCCCATGGGTTCTACTGTCACTCAAGTCACCTCTCCATTCCCATAGGATTGTCCAACTTGCAGGACCAGTCCTGGCTCAGTGTGGTAGTCCTGTTGCTGTGAGCCTCTGAGGCATCCTGCCTGCTGGTGGCGATCTGGTCAGAACTTCTCCTGAGTCTGAGTCCCACCACATCCCTCACCTCCTCTGCATCTCACCTCCTAGGACTTAATTGTGTCCTCTCAGAGCTCAGAGAGGTGAAGAACTCAGGGCTACTCAGGGAATTGAGCCCAGACCAACCATGGTCCAAAACCTCAGCTGCATCAAACCCATCAGGAGTTAGCTTTCCAAAACTGTAGTCACCTGAAGGTGCATCACATCAGTCTGGAGGCAAGAGGCCCCAGGGAGGCTCTGGTGCCTGCAGCAGGCACAGGAGGGTGTCTCTGGTAGGGTGAGGAGGCAGAGGCAGCAAAGGTGTGGTGAGAGAAAGCCTCGAGAGGAGGTCTCAAGCTGGGAATCAGGCTGGGCAGTTTGGGTTATGGTCTGATAGCTGCAGGGAGCCCTGGAAGGTGTCTGATCAGTGTTGGGGCCACCTGTGTCAGGAACATCCACCCTGGCTGTGCAGAGGAGTATGGATGGGAGCAGGTGAGGGGCCCAGTCAAGGGCAGCTGCAAGGTTCAGAAGTGGCTCTGCTCAAGGAGGGAAAGACCAGGGCGCTTGCAGGCCCAAGGGTGCTGAGGAAGCTTGCAATGAGACTGATCAGTGATGCAGCCCTGGGAGAAGGTGGCAGGATATACAGACCCGCGTGCAGCCCAGTGGTACCCTGTAGGCATCCCATGGTAAAAGCAGGAACAAATAGACCCACACGAGCTTCTTGGGCTTTGGTACCCTCCTGTTGCTTTCTTTCCCATCCCCACACCTCTCTTTGCCCACCCTGCCCTGTGGCCCTGAGGGGCCCTGGCTGGCCTAGAAGGGGAAGTACGGCCCACGGTCCCGCCCAGGGCCTCTTCCCTTTTTGCAGAACACACACATGGCTTCTCTCTCTCTCTCTCTCTCTCTCTCTCTCTCTCTCTCTCTCTCTCTCTCTCTGTCCCCCTCCCCCTCCCTGTCCTTATCTTTCCCTTCAGTCTCCATGGCGACTCACCACCTCGGCTTGCCTGCATCCCAGCCTCTGCCAGGGATTCTGAGCCAGCCTCTTTCCCCACCTCCCTCCCTCCTCAGAAGCCCTGCACCCGCAGCCCTGTCTCCTCCCCCTGGGGTGAGTCCAGCGGCAGCCTCCTCTTTCCGGACTAGCAGACCCACCGGCACACTGATTCTCCTGCTCTGACAGAGTCAGCTCCCAGGGGAGGCCGTCCCCCACCCCTCCTTCCAGGGCCACAGCTCAGCCAGCCCTTCAGGAAAGGCTAACCTTACCTCCAGCTGAAGGTCTCAGGAGCTTCTTCGCTACGTGGCAGACCCTCTCCCACCTCAGCCTCCCATGCCGAGGCACACCTTGTCAGTCACTTCCTTTTGTCATCGGCTTGGCAAACGGGCAAGTCTTCAGTCCTCAGATCTGGGGTGGAGGCTGGGGGTGGGAAGGAGCCTCCTGGGATGGGGGATGGGCCTGGGGAAGGGGAGGAGGGGCCCCTGGAAACCCAGGTTGAAAATAGGAGTCTGAATTCTGTTTTAAATACCCACCCCCTCCTTTCCAGGAGCGAAAACGGAGCTTCATGGGAAACAGCAGCAACAGTTGGTAAGCGGCAGGGCCTGCTGGGCTGGGATTGGTGCAGTGGGCCTGGCAGGTCAGCTGGAAATGGCTGGGCCAGGAGCACGGAGTCCTGTGGCCAGGCCCAGCCTGCTGAAGGCTCCACAAGGCTCTCATGGGGAGGGAGGAGCAGGCCGGATTGGCCAGGCTGCGGAGGGATGGACAGGGACAAGAAGGTGGGTGCTGCAGGAACGCAGATGCTCGGCTGAGACTGGAAGAAATTTTCTAAGAGCCAGAGCCATCTGCTCAACTGTAAAACAGGCTGCTTGGGCACCAGGAACCTTCCATCCTCTTGATGTCCCAGCAGCTGGGGTCCAGAGTTTATCACTGCTTGGAGGATCTGGTTGAAATCAGCTCCTCCCTGAGGGGCTCTGACACACAGATGGGGAGAGGGGTTTCCCAAGCATGGACATCAGGCACACATGTCATGTCAGATGCTGCCCCATGCCCACGCGCTGGTGCCACTAACCTCTCCATTGCACAGTAAGGAAATTGTGGCCCAGAGTGGGAGAAGACCTTGCCCACTGTGGGATGTGACAGGCAGAGCCAGCTTTCTCACTCTTGGGATCCTCTCACCATCATTTTGTCTTCCTGACTCTGGAGCCACCAAGGTCCGTTCAAGTGAGTGAGGAATGGGCAGAGCTCAGCTCCTCTGGCAGCAGCTCCATCAGTGCGTGGAGACCCTAAGGGAAACTGAGGTGGCACAGAGGGAGCTCTATCCCCAGCCGTCAGCCTGACCCCAAAACCCTGCCCCAGTGAACATTCTACTTTCAAATGGCCTGTCCTTCCCCCAGGTCCCATGCACCATTCCCCAAGTTGGAACTGGGTCTGGGGCCCCGGTCTGCTGTTCCCCGGGAGCTGCCCGCCTGCTCCATCTGCCTGGAGAGGCTGCGCGAGCCCATCTCGTTGGCCTGTGGCCACGACTTCTGCATCCGGTGCTTCAGCACACACCGTGTCCCCGGCTTCGAGCCACCCTGCTGCCCCGAGTGCCGGAAGATCTGTAAGCAGAAGAAGGGCCTCCGCGGTCTGGGGGAGAAGATGAAGCTCCTGCCGCAGCGGCCATTGCCCCCTGTGCTGCAGGTGCGGGGACCAGGCCTTTACATGGGGTAGGGTGCGTGGAGGTCTCTAGGTCAGATCCACGGAGTAGGGTGGCTTTGGGAACGTCAGAACAGGGCACGGAGTCCCAGGCTGGATACACTCCAGACATGGGTCTCCTGGATAACTCAGTGGACCTTTTCCTGTCCAGGAGAGCTGTGCAGTTAGGGCAGAGCCACTGCTGCTGGTGCGCATCAACACCTCAGGAGGCCTCATCCTCAGGATGGGGGCCATCAACCGCTGCCTGAAGCACCCCCTGGCGAGGGACACCCCCGTCTGCCTCCTTGCCGTCCTGGGGGAGCAGCACTCAGAGAAGTCTTCCCTCCTCGACCACTTGCTCCGGGGCTTGCCAGGCCTGGTGAGGGCAGGGCTGGCAGGAGGCTGGAGGGGGGCAAGGCAGGAGCCCTGGGTTGGCTATGGGTGAGGAGCTGAGTCTGAAGCCCAGTCTCCGGGGATCCGGAATGGACCAGCTGATGCCCGCTTCTCTGCCTGCAGGAGCCTGGTGGTGAGGGCAGCTGGTCCAGAGGAGGAGAGGGGTCCCTGCAGGGGTTCAAATGGGGTGCCAGTGGCCTCAGCAGGGGCATATGGATGTGGAGCCACCCCTTCTTGCTGGGGAAAGAGGGAAAGAAGGTAAGAGGAGGAAGGGAAGAAGGAAGTCAGGGTTAGAGCAAGGAGGGGAAAGTGTGTGGGGAGATAAGGGGAGAGAGAAAGACAAAGAGGAGAGGGGAATCAAGAGGGAATGCTCTGGGGCTTTGGGGTGAGCACAAGAAGTCTGGTCCAGGGGAACAGACCTGACCCCTCAGCCCGTCCTCCTCACCCCCGGGTAGGTGGCTGTGTTCCTGGTGGATGCGGGAGATTCCATGAGTCCCGAACTGAGCAGGGAAACAAGGGTCAAACTCTGTGCTCTCACCACGATGCTGAGCTCCTACCAGGTAAGAGTGGCCTGGGGGTCAGAGTCCTCATCCCAAGTGCCCTTTCCCACCCCAGCTTTTTTAAGGCAGAAGGTATCTCACAGACTTTGGTGTCTGGGGTCCCTGCAGGTTTTAGGGGTGTCCCTGGAAGAGGGAAGATGCTTATAGTCTGTGGAAGTGGAAGCATGGGTGGGCTGATGATCCTTGGTTCTGGGGGTAGGGGGAACTGAAGGTCTGCAGAATGCCAAGACCATTTCAGTCTGGGAGGTATAGATCATCTGCACGCATGCAGAGGCCTCGTGCTGGGCCTGTCCTGTGTTCTGAGTCCCGCGGCTGCCCGGGAGCCCCTCTCACAGGGCCTTTCCAGCAGCGCTTGGCCTCTGTGCACACCCTCCTGCATCCTGTTCTCCCTGATTCCAGATCCTGAACACCTCCCAGGAACTGAAGTACATAGATCTAGACTATCTGGAGGTGAGGAGATTTGGGCACAATGCAGCCCTGACCTAAGGTCAGGGGCCTTGGCCAGAGGAAGCTAGGGTCTTTTTGGTCCAGCCCAGGATTTTATGGCCCTTGAACTGGGTTGGAGGGTTTGAGGGTGGAGGATACAGCACAAGATGCCCGGTGTGGGGGAGACAAGAGAACCTCAGAACTGGGAGGTGGGAAGCTTGACTCTTACAGAGAGGCATAGTGGTGGCAGATAGCCTGAGACAAACTGTACCCCTCGGAGGGCCCTGCCCTGATATTCTCTGTGTCCACCCCCAGATGTTTGTCCATGTGGCTGAGGTGATGGGCAGGCATTATGGGATGGTGCCAATCCAGGTGAGACACTTGTTTCTAGACTCATCAGCTTAAACCTTGACCGTCTCAGCTGCTGGTGTCAGGACCCCTTCTCTTTTAGCATCTGGACCTCTTAGTTCGTGACTCATCCCATCCCAGCAAGGCAGGGCAAGGTCACATGGGTGACATCCTCCAGGTGAGCAGTGCAGAAGGAGGGGCTGGAAGATGAGACAAGGGCAGAGAGGCTGGGCGGGGGCTCGCGGAGGGTGCTCACAGTTGGAGGCCAGACCCTGGCCAATGGCCCTCTTCCCTTCTTCTCTCAGAAGTTGCCGGGCAAATACCCCAGGGTCCAGGAGCTTCTCCTAGGGAACAAAGCCCGCTGTTATCTCCTGCCTTCTCCAGGCAGGCGGTGGATGAACAAAGGCCAAGGAAGCCCAGGAGGTGGTGAGTGTCCCTAAAACAAAGTCCTCCCAGCTCCCTAGAACCCCCTGCAGTGTCTAGTCCCACCGAGCCTTTCCCCTTGCAAAGCCCTGGTATCCTCAGTATGAAGAACCTCTTTTTAGACACAGATGATGATTCCTGCCACCTCCTTCGGCCCTATGTCTTGGATGTGCTCAGCGCAGCCCCGCAGCACGCTAAGAGCCGCTGCCAGGGCTACTGGAGTGAGGGGCGCACCGTGGGCAGGGGAGACAGACGCCTGCTCACCGGGCAGCAGCTAGCTCAGGAGATCAAGGTGTGAAAACCCCCTAGAGCCCTGGCACTCGGCAGGTCCCTGCTTTCCCTGACCTGGTGGTGTGTCTCTGCAGAACCTCTCGGGCTGGATGGGGAGGACGGGGCCTGGCTTCAGCTCTCCTGATGAGGTATGGAGTCCCCCTGCTCCCCAAGGATGGGTGTCTGGGAGAGAGGAGGGCAGGTGGGGTCTGGGCTGAGCACGGGAGGTGGGAGTTCGGGCCTGGGAGCAGAGATGAAGAGCAGGTGGCCAGGCCAAGGAGGAAGGAGGGAGGCAGCCAGGGCTTTCCCGTGGACAGATGGCTGCTCAGCTGCATGACCTGAGAAAAGTGGAGGCTGCCAAGAAGGAGTTTGAGGAGTATGTGAGGCAGCAGGTAAGCCCTGGGCCTACAGGGGAGGCAGGGACAGGCCAGATGCTGGGGCGGAGGTGCCTGGGTCTCCCAGGTGAAGCCCTTTGTTCTCTCTTCCTGTCACCACAGGATGTGGCCACCAAGCGCATCTTCTCTGCACTCCGGGTCTTGCCAGACACCATGCGAAACCTACTCTCCTCCCAGAAGGATGCTGTCTTGGCCCGTCATGGAGTGGCCTTGCTGTGCAAGGAGCGTGAGCAGACCTTGGAGGCCCTGGAGGCTGAACTGCAGGCCAAGGCCAAGGCCTTCATGGACTCCTACACCATGCGCTTCTGTGGCCACTTGGCTGCAGTTGGGGGTGCTGTGGGAGCTGGGCTCATGGGCCTGGCCGGGGGCGTTGTGGGTGCAGGCATGGCTGCGGCTGCACTGGCGGCAGAGGCTGGGATGGTGGCAGCAGGGGCGGCAGTGGGGGCCACGGGGGCTGCTGTGGTGGGGGGTGGTGTGGGTGCAGGGCTGGCTGCCACTGTGGGCTGCATGGAAAAGGAGGAGGATGAGAGGGTGCAGGGAGGAGACAGAGAGCCTCTTCTCCAGGAAGAGTGACAGCCCAGGAAATGTTAAAGAGTGGGAGAGATGTGGGGTTGGGGAGAAAATAGAGGATGAGGCAGGGGCAATACTAGGGATTTTGAGGGGCCCACATGTACCACAGTGCCCCTGTTGAAAGCCCACTGTTTAGACCCTGGCCAAGCTGGGACACAAGGTACATCCAGGAACCTGGGGAGGTTTTCTGGGGCCAGAAAGCAGCCAGTGGGTAGAGCACAGGGTCTGTTTCTGTTAGTAGAGGATTGTTGATACGCTGCTGTCCTGGTCCTAGGTAAACTTGACCCGGGGTTTTCCGTTATGAGTGAGGCTGCATCCTCCCTTCTCCAGTTTATTTTCCTGGGTGATCTTGGATTGGAGCAAGGTTGAGCAGGTGCTACCTTGCAAGTCTGTCCCTGGGTCAAAGGCTGTGTCATCTCACAGATGGAAGAGTCCCCAGGATGGTTGGGTTTGGTGCTCAGGAGTGAAGAGCACCGACAGGAATGGGGAGGAGAAGAGGAAGGGATGCTGGGCCAAACCAATGAAGCAAGTTGTGACAGACGGTGGCCGGGACCCCACAGTAGAGACACTTGCTCCCAGGATGTATTCCAGAGGGACTAAGGTGGCTGCCTGCCTTGCCCAGGCAGCCTGGCAGCTGTGTGTGTGCACCCTGAGTGGTCCTGTGCCTGGCTTGGGTTCATGCCGTTGACCAAGTTCGTTCAGACAGAGGAGTGCCCATGTTCTTTGTGGAACGCCCTTTCCACAACAGATTAAATGCCAAAGAATCACACTTTAATTGCATTCTGAGCTAAACTAGTCTATTCCAGATTCTATCAAAGCCTCATAAAGGAACCAAAGGGAACAAATTCTATCCTTAAACATGTCATTTTTCCCTTGAGCTTGTGAGGGACCACTCTGCTCTGTCTTAGAACACCTCTTTGATGCTGCTCCCCGAATACCAGCTCCATGGGGAGTTTGTGGGAAGCATCTCTCTGGAGGACAGAAAGTCCTTCTAGGAAGATTCTGGGCTACTAAAGTGTAAAGTGTGCTGGGCACATGACCCTTTATTTTCTGAAAAAATAAAATGTGTGTACGTGAATGTCAGCTTCCCAGTACATTACTAAAAGAAGAATTCTGCCTCCAGAGGACTTCAGGGTGTGTGTGTGGGGGGTGTGGATCAAGCAGTTTCATTATTGGATGTGTGACAGAAAAAGGGACACTGAAATTTCAAAGTGATCTGTGCAGTGTCAGAGCCTAATACTTGGCTGCAGCAGGAGGGTTCAGGCCAAAGGCCAGGTACATGGCCACCTGTGTAGGCTTCTCTACTAGGACGTGGCAAGGTCCTGTTCCTCTTGTCTCTCCTGTGAAACACTGCCTCAGATGACACTGATGCAAACAGATATCAGCTGGAATATGTCCCCGCCGAGGACAGAATAGAGGTATCAATAGAGAGGCCTTGGTAAGACCCCTGAGAAAAGAGGGCCCAGGGTCCCTTAGGCAGGACTCAGCCAACTGGGTGTTCACCTGTGTGGTTCTTCTTCCAGCCCCAGCTCCCCATCTAGAAGTTATGATAGTGGTCACTGCATCCAGACCTTGCATTTTATAGCTGCAAATTTTTGGGGGGTGGAATCAAACTCATGACCTTGTGCTTGATAGGCAGGCGCTGTGCCGCTGAGCTATATCCCCGGCCTTATAGATGCAAATCTTGAGAGGGAAGCCCTGAATGAGCTGCCCAGCTGATGACAAGGAAGCAGGGGAGCCCCAGAGTCCAGACTGGCACTATCCACGGACACAGACATCCTAGAACATCTTGTGAAGCTCAGCTCTGCTGAAATTGAGACTTTCCTTTTCTTCCTCTTGACTAGGTCCAGCTCTGGAAAACTATGGGGATGACAGAGGTGGAGGACAGGGTCTGAGACAGATGCCTTTACAGTCAAAGTTGCAGTTAACCCACTGGGGACAAAATACATAATGTAGAGAAATCCCCAGTCCCCAGTTGGGGTGGGTGGAGTAAAGAGAGATGAGGGTGACTCTCTGTTGGAAACTGGGCCAGGGGTGGGGACAGGGTCTAGACTCTGTGTAGTGTTTGTGGAGGAAGGTTTTCTGGAAACATCTCTGTGAATTCTTCCATCGTCATCTGGTGGACACATGAGTTACAAAGCCTCCCAGAGGGCGGGCTGGCAGGCACAGGGCTCAAGGGCCTCTGAGGACTCGAAGGGTGGTGGTGGCTAGAACCCCCCTCCCACACCCCGCAGAGGCATTGGAACAGATGCTGCAGTCAACTTCTTGCTCTTTGAACAGATGGGGAGAGGTTGGCCTGGCTCGGGAAGCTTCTGCAGAGACAGGCTGAGTAAACTCAGTGACATCTGCCTTCTGCCTTATAGCTGTCAGAGCATTTCCCCAAGCACCATCTCCATAAGCCTTAGCACCACCTTGTGCAGGATGGAGAGGACACGTTTTTAATAGGATTCACCAAAACAGAGAAGTGACCCGGCTCAGCAGGAGCAACTCATCAGAGACGAGCCAGAACCTGAGCCCGAGATTTCTAACACCAGTCCCCTGCTCACAGAGCCTTCACGGACCCTGCCCCATCCTCTGGCTGCCAAAGTGTACAATTTCATTTTTGTTTCTATAATGAAATATCTGAGGCTGTGGCCTTTATAAAGAAAAGAGGGTTATTTAACTTACAGTTTTGGAGGTTCAAGGGCATGCTTCCAGCATCATGTCAGCTCTAGTGAGGATCTTGTGGTGGTCACCATGGCATGATGGTAAGGTGTACAAGAGGGAAAGCTCACACAACAAGCCAGGAAGCCATGGAAACTACACTAATCCCTTCTAAGGGCCATGTTCCCGGTGACTTAGTGACCTGTCACTAGGTTTCACTTCTTAAGGTTCTTTTACTAGGACTACACGGGGGATCTATCTTCCAATGCATGGATTCCTGGGGACACACTTATAATCATGTTCAAAAAATAACACTGAGATTTTAACATCAGTTCTATAATTCACCAGAGCCCAAGTAACTCTGTGGCCAAGGTCTCTACAGCATACTAAGATCTGGCTTGTTTTCCTTCTCTGACCTGCTAAGAGTCACCAGCTCTAAGATTCTCATATGTCGAGTGTCTGGTTAGAGATCTGTTGATTTACCTTGTCACTGATGCCTCTGTTGGGGCCTCTGTCATAATGAGGATGGCAGTACCACAAGACAAAAGGAAGCTGCACCCCAAAGCACTGTGGTCACATGGAACAAGAGCCCCAAGGCCACTGACCTGCATGATTCTGTGTTGTGAACCAACTCTCACTGCATTAAGTGGAGAACTCCCTAGGACGATTTCTTACCACACTGTTGCCTCCCTTACCCTAACTAACACAGAAATGTGCTTGTGAAATGGGATGATTTCATCATAAACACCTAAAATACTGCTGGTATGGTGGCAAGCAGTAAGGAAACACATGGCTGGGCCCATGTTTTGTCATGACAAACATTTGCTAAACTGTTGCCTACAGTCACTTGGAAGGCAGATTTTGTGCTGTTGAGGAAAACGATTTTTTAAATAAAGTCTCCTGCCCACCCAGAATATCCTCCCCATCATGCAGAAAAGAAAGAAAACAGCTCTGTTATTGAATATGTATTCAGCCAGACTCGGATATGTCATGTGTAATTTGCTAATGCCATTACAAAGGCAAAAGAAATCTTACTTTATTTGTGATTCTTTGTTTTGAGGCAGGGTCTCACTATGTAGTCCAGGCTGGCCTTGAACTTATTTATATAACCCAGGCTGGCCTCAGACTCATGGCAATCCTCCTGCCTCAGCCTCCTGAGTGCTGGGATCACAGGTGTGTGCCACCAAGCCCGGCACCAACCTTATTTATATAGACTCACAGGTGAGGCCCATGTCATGCACATTCTCATGTGTGAGGGACCTGTCCGCAAGAGAGAAGACTCCACAGCATCATGCTTTCATAGTTTGCTCTGAACCAATCTAGTCACTGGAGTTACCATCTGTCTAATTCATTGCCTTTGAGGAAGAAAAATTAAAGCATTTTTGAAAATCTCTTGGACAAATGGGTAGTCTAAGCACGCAGGCTAACACCCCTTCTGTGTGAGAGTGATAGAGTACCAGCTTCCTTGATGCTTATACTTGAAAGAGATGGCTCCACGTCCTTCAGAAAAAGTCCTGGGTTTTAATCCCATTAAAAGTTTTATTTTACCTTTAAAATATTTGCTTAAGTATCAGAAGAACAGAGGAAATTTATGTTGTCTTTGTGGCTTGCACTTTCATAAGATTAACTACCTGAGTAGACACTACCCTCTGTACCAAAGCTACTCTTGCCTATTTCTGTTTCTTCAAGGATTGAATTTAATACATCTCTTTTCATCTGTGGAGGGCCACAAACAGGCCTCTTAGGCCAAATATGTTCACTGGAAGAAAGAGAGCCTCTTTATTAAATGGTGCTGGAAAAATTGGCTCTCTGCATGCTGAAGACTAAAACTAGACCCAAGTCTATCACTATGCTCTAAACTAAAATCAAAATGGATCAAAGGTCTAAATATTAAAACAGTGAATTGAATCTACTGGAAGAGAAAATAGGTAGAAGTCTTGAAGACATAGGGGTAGGCAGAGACTTCATGAACAAAACCCAGATCTCATGGGAAATACTACAAAGAATCAACAATTGGGATCTTATTAAAACCTTTTTCACAACAAAAGAAATCACCAACAGAATAAAAAGACAACCCACAGAGTGGGAAAAAGTTTTAGGCAGTTGCCCTTCAAACAAAGGATTTATATCTAGAACATATAAAGAACTGAAAAAAATCAGGCCCCCAAAATTCAAAGACCCAGTCCAAAAATGGGCATCTGAGATGAATATGCACTTCTCAGATGAAGAAATACAAAAGACAAATATGTGAAAAAATGTTCAACATCATTGGTCATTCGAGAAATGCAAATTGAAACAATGATGAGAGTCCATCTCACTACAGGAAGAACTGCTATCATCAAGAAATCAACCAATAACAAATTTTGGTGGGGCTGTGAGGAAAAAGGAAGGCTTCTCCACTGTTGGTGGGAGTGTAGACTGGTGCAACCACTGTGGAAATCAGTATGGAGATTTCCCAAAAAACTAAGATTAGAGGTCCCATTTGTCCCAGCTATTCCCCTTCTAGGTATATTCCCAGAAGAATTAAATACACCATACCATAGTGATATATGTGCACCTATGTTTATAGCTGCAAAATTTGTGATAGCTAAATCTTGGAAACAATCCAAATGCCCATCAACTGAGGAGTGGATAAAAATGTGGATTTTTTATACAATGGAGTACTACTCAGCCATAAAGAAAGATAAACTTGAGACTTTTATAGGTAGGTGGATATAACCTGAGACCATACTCATTAGTGAAATAAATCAAATTCACATGTGTAAACATCATATTGTCTCTCTGGTGTGAGAAGCTGAAAGAGTAAATAAGGTCCGATGTGTACAATAGATATTGTAAAATGGGAAGAAACTGTTCAAAAGGAAAGAGGAACTAGGGTAGGGAAAAGGGGAAAGGAAGGAAGGGAAAAGGAATAAAAATACAAGATACTTATACTACTAGTTTCTCTTAGTTCATTGAAAAGAAAAGTTTGTGCTAATGTTGTTTGGAGAATTTTTATGCCCATATCTGGTACTCTAAGTAACTACTTTGAAGATAACAATACACAATATATTAACTATTGTTACTCTCCTATTATTTTGTATTGAAATTTTGTTTTATTTTTTACATAAACAAACAAACAAACAAAAAAACCACCCTCTTTATAGGATTCCATAATGGGAGCTCCCAATTTTGGTTATGAAGACTACCAGTCTCAGACATTTTGTGGCAAGTTTAGGGCTTCAGTATTGGGCTGCAGTATGAATTGTGTTTGCTTCAGTATTACCAAAAGTTACTCGGGAAGAAGGCCTCACCTTTTCTCTGCTGAAACTCTCATTGTTGAGCTTGTAAGTCCAGACTGCTTCATCTTGGGAATACACAATGGAGCTGATAGGAAATACGTGATTATGAGCACCATAACTGGGAACACAGAAAAAACTGTGTTAAAAACAATGT